ATGCCTTACAAATGATATAAATTAACGACGAAGTAGAGAAAGATAAAACAGCATTTGCAAAGATCAAGGAGCGCGGGAGGGAAAGAGAAGATGGATGTGGGAAGGAAGAGAGAGAGAGAGAAGAGGGCAAGAGGGAGCAGGAACACTCACCACCTCCCAGCAGCCTCAGCAGCCACGAGCTGGAAGAAGTGACACAACAGAGACTCAAGAGACCGACAACACAAGAGCAGCCACGAACACACACACTTACTATCTAAAACTAGCGTTGATGGAATAATTAGCCAGCGCTTCCACAATTCTATCCACTCCTCTCGCCAGTCAAGCTTAACAACCCCCATCCCCAACAGCCATCAAACACGCCATACATTTCCACATTTCCATTTTTCAACAACATATCTCCATTGCCCACTCTCTGAAAACAAAGCGCCATTTCCCTCTCTTTTATTACAAAACACTACTGCTGCTGCCTGCCCTTCACTCCCTACTCTCCCTCTGCACCCGTCACGTCTTACCTTCCACCTCTGAACCAGCCAAGCACGCATCTCCAGGCTGGCAACTGCCAGTACATAGAACACAACAGAAATGAAGTGCCTAACAGTTAGGTAAACTGGTGCTGATGAAATGTCCAAGTGGATGAACTCAAAGAACTGATGACAGTACATGTTAGCATAAACTAAACTAACCCATTTGAGCAGTAATTCAGTATTCTCAAGGCAATGCCAGATAATAAGTAGAGGAAGAAAATGGAGTAGAGTGGCACAGCTGGTCAAGAAAGACTAAATAACATGAATCATTTCAGTGGGAGAATATGACATACATTCCACTTGAGAACTACAGAATACCCAGACATGAATACCAAATTACAGGCAAAGCTTGCATAAAAATGATCCCAAAGTGGCTGAAATATCCCTTAGAATATAAACAAAACTGCTAGTGATAGTAGACTTCAATCATGGACAAATTGACTGGGAGTCAATGGATCTGAGAGGGGATAAATGGGATACGGGTAACAAAGCTGGTAGAAGTAGCAGAAAAGAACACCGTATTGCAACACATTAGGGAGGAAACACAGAGAAGAGAGCACAAAGACCAACCATCATAACTAGACGAGGTTTTCACACACAGCGAGGTGAACATTGAGAGCATCACACATGAAATACCAATGGTGGCCAGTGACCATTGTGTGTTGGTCTTTGATTATGTAGTTGTTATGAAGGCTGCGGCAAGAGGCAGAGAAGAGGAGAGTGGAAGACCAGCTTACCATAAAGGTGAGCTCCAGTAGGTCAGACAATTCTTAGAGAAAAGATTCAGCAACATAGCACTCAGAGATAACAAAACGAGACATGATGGACATCATAACAGGTAAATACAAGAGAAACCTATGAAAGATTTATACCGCCCCAAAGTGGTAATAGAACCAACAGACAAAATGCCATTGGCTTGACAGACAAAGCTTGAAGACGAATATGACAAGTAAAAGAGCGCTGAACAAATACAGGGAGCACAGAACAAGGGTGAACCACAACATATATACAACAGAGAGGAATGAACGCACACAGGAAGTCGGAGAGCAACAGAGAAGCAGTGTGAGAAGGCTATAGCATGGAAGGCCAAGGATCAGCCTAAACCACTATATAGCCACATTAGGAGAAAGATATCATAAATGATGAAGTGATCACGCTGCACAAAAGAAAGGGAGACCACACAGAGAATGATAAGGAAGTGTGCAAAGAACTCTTAAAAGCTTCCATGAAGTATTCAAGTTGGAACCCGAGCTGCTCCCAGATCTAAGATTTCTAAGCGAACCTTAGAAACCTATCTGATACTCTACCAGATAAGTCACAGGAGAAAACTTGAGGTGATGAAAGCCACAAGCCCGGGCAAGATCTCAACATGAATGATAACACAGGTCCTGCAACATTGTGAAGACTGCCTGGCTATAGTTCTCAGCTCCTTTCTAGAAATGTGGAACTACTTGAAATTTGTAAAATAGCTATAGTGCCTACATATGAGAACGGGGGAAGACGGGAGCCACTGAACTACAGGCTGCAATCACTAACAAGTATTCCCTGCAAGATATTAGACTGATTAGAAGGTGGCTCGTAGAACGCCTAAACCACATCAATTATGTCTCCACTTATAAACCTGGATTCAGCCAGAAAAGTCCTGCTTGATCAACTCATGATGCGCAGTGGTAACACTCTCCCTGCGCTTCGCGAGCGATTTGGCCCAGGTTCGTATCCTGGCCGAGGAGGATTCGTTAGGCGCCACTTCTTAACTGTACGCCTCTGTTCACCCAGCAGAAATTGGGTACCTGGTTGTTAAATGCCTGGCGGGTCGTATTCCAAGGAAACTAGTGGGTAAGGCTTGCCATGAGGTATGGGATGGGAAAGCTCTCAACCTGTTTACACGGATGGATTGAGAAATGGCCAGATAAGAAGAGTCAAAAACAGTCATGGCACTGATCTACTGTTGGTCGAAAGACGCTCAATCCAGTAAGCACATCTAGATTAGTACATATAATCGAGCACGTACACACACACACACACACACACACACACACACACACACACACACACACACACACACACACACACACACAGTAACCATATTCTTCACAGTTCTTATTCGCGGCTTTTAGCTCTCAGGTTCCTGCTTTTTATTTTCCGCCTGGCAGACAACTTGTGTTCTTGTAAATTTCCAGTACAAAAAGAAAATAATAATTCCTTCCGCCCGCCCGCCCGTCCGTCCGTGACATATTTACCGGGGTCGTCGCCTCGACATAAATTTTCCAACTTCTTTCCAGCGTCTCGCTGCGCTAAACACTCGCTACGCTAACTACCACCAAACTTTTCCCTATCGTCGGAGCAGAAAAATAAAATTCCCTTAGAGAAAATATCCCTCTAGTTGACCTGAAAGCCCCTCGTGGGAGGCGGTAAAGTTGAATATAAAGTCACCTCGTATTCAAATTCAGGTGACATTCACACACTCTCCCCGACGCCCGGCCTGGAGTTTCCACCCCCTGCAGTTGTGCCAGTTCACTGTGGCACAGCAACGCCCGGGGGGCTCCTTGTCCTCAACCACTTCCCTGCCTCCAACCCCCCTCCAACCCCCCTCCAACCCCCCTCCAACCCCCCCACATACACGCTTCGTAATGTGATTTTAGTCTCATTCTTTCCTGGTATTATTATGTCTTCATAAAAGTATTATGTGTATTTTTTGTGTGTGTGTTGTTATTCTGGTAAAGAAATATGTTTGGTGTTGAATTATTGTGTTTCTGTTGTAGAGAGTTGGCAACGCTTGGGCCTTTCCTCTCCTTCCGCGAGTGACTTCGGTTCTTGAGACGAGGGGGGGGGAGGGAGGTCAGGAGGGAAGAGGGAGGGAATGGTGTAAGTGAGAGGGAAGGAGGTGTGGAGGGAATTATTGGGGTTAGAGCAAGAATTGTGCAGGTGTGGAGACGAGGTAAGAGAGAGATGTGATATTACCATAACTCAGATACCGCAAGGGTTGTGGAGGGGGCAGACTTGAGTGCCAGGGAAGCAGAGGGCGGCATATCTGCGCTCTCCAGCAGCTGCTGGGAGCCGGGAACCCGACCTCCGCTCTCCGCCGAATACAACCCCGAAATGCTGTCAAAATTCTGGTTACAACAGTCATTTCCCGCCCGAGGATATTTCTTTAGAGAGTATATTGTAGGGGTACCACCTCTAGTGCAATTGTAGGGGACCCACAGCCTCGGAGAAGAGAATAAAGAGTATTCAGAAAAGACCTTGTGCAATCTCGCTGAACACTTTAATATTTTCTTCTCCTACCACCCCTACTTTTTTTATGATAATGTATACATTTAAAAACATAATTACATCGTGGTGTTATCTTGAGGTTATCTTGAGATGATTTCGGGGCTTTAGTGTCCCCGCGGCCCGGTCCTCGACCAGGCCTCCACCCCCAGGAAGCAGCCCGTGACAGCTGACTAACTCCCAGGTACCTATTTACTGCTAGGTAACAGAGGCATTCAGGGTGAAAGAAACTTTGCCCATTTGTTTCTACCTCGTGCGGGAATCGAACCCGCGCCACAGAATTACGAGTCCTGCGCGCTATCCACCAGGCTACGAGGCCCCTTTTATGTTATGATAGGTTTTTTTTTTAGGTTATAAATGTGCAGAGGTGACTCGGCTGCCATGTTTAGGCGCCCACACGGCCTCCTGAACACGGTGGCTGTGGAGGGTAATCACCTGTGTAATGACTCAACATATCCACTAATGCTTCACTCAAATTTTTCTGATTACCTTTTTGGGTAAAAACTCACACAGTCGCCAGCTTTAATGGGTATTAAAATCGTTTGGCAATTTAGTAAAGCTGTTTTAGTTATGCACAGACATATGGGATGAGGTGATGCGATGGTCTTAAGGTTTAACTTACTGGTGGCCATGTTAGAACACCCCTTCAGAGTGCTGTCTCCCACTTGTCAGTCAGAGCTGTCGCCCACATTCACAATGTCTTTAGTGGGGTTCGCAGCAAATGTTTGGTATTAGGTAAGATTAGGTGAGGTTGGGTGAGGTGATGTTTGATTAGTAGACGAGGTTGGGTGAGGTTAGATTAGTAGGTGAGGTTGGGTGAGGTATTATATGAGTTTAGATTGATAAATGAAGTCAGGTAGAGATGCGGTAATATTAGGCGAGAGTACACTAAGTTAGGTAATGTGAGGTAAGCTTAGATAAGATAATATAAGGTGAGATCAATTTCAGAGAAGCAGTTCTGTGTCTCAGCGCTGAGAGAACCAACTACCTGCCAGATCTGTATGGCCAGTAATCACCCAGCATCCACAAGGTGAATTGGGTACAGATTTGAACGCAATTGTCGACTCTCTACTAAGCCAGCTATGTACGGCCCCAACACCAGCAAGAACCGGGACTCTCCTCGACACACAACACAGAGGGACCAATAAAGCAGACTACTCTTAAGAACACATAATGAGATAGAGAGAGAGAGAGAGAGAAGGGATAATGACGACAGCCGCTCTGTGTCTGCTGGTCCACATCGCCCGTATTAATAGTAGCATCAGGTACTTGGTCTCCCCTCCCCTGGGGAGATGCTCTAATATGGTCGTGAGCTGTGTGTGTACTCACCTAGTTGTACTCACCTAGTTGTGTTTGCGGGGGTTGAGCTCTGGCTCTTTGGTCCCGCCTCTCAACCGTCAATCAACAGGTGTACAGATTCCTGAGCCTATCGGGCTCTGTCATATCTACACTTGAAACTGTGTATGGAGTCAGCCTCCACCACATCACCCCCTAATGCATTCCATTTGTCAACCACTCTGACACTAAAAAAGTTCTTTCTAATATCTCTGTGGCTCATTTGGGCATTCAGTTTCCACCTGTGTCCCCTTGTGCGTGTTCCCCTTGTGTTAAATAGACTGTCTTTATCTACCCTATCAATCCCCTTCAGAATCTTGAATGTGGTGATCATGTCCCCCCATGTGGTGTCATGTGTGTGTGTGTGTGTGTGTGTGTGTGTGTGTGTGTGTGTGTGTGTGTGTGTGTGTGTGTGTGTGTGTGTGTGTGTGTGTGTGTAATTACCTAAGTGTAGTTACAGGATGAGAGCTACGCTCGTGGTGTCCCGTCTTCCCAGCACTCTTTGTCATATAACGCTTTGAAACTACTGACGGTCTTGGCCTCCACCACCTTCTCACCTAACGTGTTCCAACCGTGTGCGTGTGTGTTGTGGCTATAACTGCAATTAGAGGATTCAACATAAATTGGCATCCCAAGTATTGTCTCATCCGGCCCTCATACTCAGCTCACTCATACAGCACTCATAATATACTTTGAGAGTATATTATGAGTGCATTAATACGAAATGTATTAATATATTTTGGGTCATGACACATTAAGTATGCGTGCATGCGTGTAAATGAGAGGGCGTGTACATGAGGGCGTGCGTGTGCACACACACACACACACACACACACACACACACACACGCGCGCGCGCGCGTGCACGCACCCCGGGCCTCTCATCACCAAGAGACGTCACGTCAACTGGTCCAACACGAGGTTCCAGCAATACGACTCTTAAACCTCCTGTATGACTCGGTATTTACATAACCTGTACCTTTGTGCTTATTACCTCTCACGTATTAATATACAAGCACAAAAATCAAGTACTAATATTAACACTATTACCATCAGTAATAACTACACCAGGAAGCAAGATACAGAAGCCATTAAATACGAATAGGGGGGGGGGAGATGCAAGTAATTGATAAAGAGGAAATGGGATATGACAGGATGGAATTAGGGAAAGGGGAGAGAAGGAGAGAGAGAGAGAGGGGAAAAGGTGAGAATAGGAGAGAAAGTGCAGTTGACAGGGTGAAAGAGGAATAATGTGAAGAAGAGAGGAAACAAAAAATAATCCCGAAAATAAGGAAAATAATAATGCAATAATAATGTATGAAAATAAGTATATAAATTTGAAGGAAGAATAGAGAGCACGAGATAAACAATGGTGATTAGCAGAACAGAGAGAGAGAGAGAGAGAGAGAGAGAGAGAGAGAGAGAGAGAGAGAGAGAGAGAGAGAGAGAGAGAGAGAGAGAGAGAGAGAGAGAGAGAGAGAGAGAGAGAGAGAGAGAGAGAGAGAGAACGAGAACAAAGAGATGAAGGGAGGTAGAAAGTAATGGGAGAACAAGAGGCGGGGGAAGATATAGAGGGGATAGAGAAGAAGAGATAAAGGTGGGGGGGAAGGGAGGGAGACGTTGGAGGGAGAAGAGTAGGAGCTTATTGAATTTTGTGTGACATATTTCGACATAATTGAATCAGGAAGTATGACTGACGGTCCGTAGGTGAGTTGGGTAGGCCGGCTCTGGTTCACCACTGGTGGGTGTCTCCCTGTTCCTTCCCCCTCCCTCTTGTGGCCTCCTCCCCCTCCCTCTTGCGTACTCCTCCCCTTCCCTCTTGTGGCCTCCTCCCCTCCCTCTTGCGTACTCCTCCCCTTCCCTCTTGTGGCCTCCTCCCCTCCCCGAAAACATCATGGAATGGGTATAATATCATCCATTACACATGCCAATGACTCTCCGTGCATACTCTCAGGTGAGTAAACAATTTACTCATAACATGACCTTACCCATTGAGGAACATGATCACTCAAGCCATAAGCCAGGCACAAGAACATGATCGTATCAGTCTTGCAATGTTGCAATAATTGACGGAGCTCGAGTAATAGTGAATATTCTCCAGTGTGTCTGTATGATAGATATACTGTGCTTCTTGAGGGCAACATCAGCCGCAGATCTCGTAGCAACATCAGCCACAGATCTCGTAGCAACATCAGCCGCAGATCTCGTAGCAACATCAGCCGCAGATCTCGAGGGAACATCAGCCGCAGATCTCGTAGCAGCATCAGCCACAGATCTCGTAGCAACATCAGCCGCAGATCTCGTAGCAACATCAGCCGCAGATCTCGTAGCAGCATCAGCCGCAGATCTCGTAGCAACATCAGCCGCAGATCTCGTAGCAACATCAGCCGCAGATCTCGTAGCAACATGAACCGCAGATCTCGTAGCTACATCAGCCGCAGATCTCGTAGCAACATGAACCGCAGATCTCGTAGCTACATCAGCCGCAGATCTCGTAGCAACATCAGCCGCAGATCTCGTAGCAGCATCAGCCGCAGATCTCGTAGCAACATCAGCCGCAGATCTCGTAGCAGCATCAGCCGCAGATCTCGTAGCAACATCAGCCGCAGATCTCGTAGCAACATCAGCCGCAGATCTCGTAGCAGCATCAGCCGCAGATCTCGTAGCAACATCAGCCGCAGATCTCGTAGCAGCATCAGCCGCAGATCTCGTAGCAACATCAGCCGCAGATCTCGTAGCAACATCAGCCGCAGATCTCGTAGCAACATCAGCTGCAGATCTCGTAGCAACATCAGCCGCAGATCTCGTAGCAACATCAGCCGCAGATCTCGTAGCAGCATCAGCCGCAGATCTCGTAGCAACATCGGCAGCAGATCTCATAGCAACATCAGCCACAGATCTCGTAGCAGCATCAGCCGCAGATCTCGTAGCAACATCGGCAGCAGATCTCATAGCAACATCAGCCGCAGATCTCGTAGCAACATCGGCAGCAGATCTCATAGCAACATCAGCCACAGATCTCGTAGCAGCATCAGCCGCAGATCTCGTAGCTACATGACCCGCAGAACCTGAGCCAAAAACGCGGGCAAATCACATGTAAGATCCGACGCAGATTCTCACAGAAAATCCCATGCATAATTTCCATGAAGATCTGCCCCCAGAATATTCCCAACACTGCTGTAATCACCTCGTGCTTTGTAATCGTCACTGCCTCTCCCAGAGTAGTGCGGTGGGAGTGGTGGAGTACGTGGGAGACGCTGTGGGAGGGAAGGAGGGAGAGAGAGGAGTAGGGGTGAAGGATGGAAGAAGATGGGAAACTCCAAGAACACAATAAAAGGATGAACAACAGATTACAAACAAATTATCATATAGGCATCAAGACGTGTATATGAGGATCGGAATATATACATTCGATACGCAGTATTCATCTATGGACAACATATACGCTGGAATGTATACTAGAGCCTTGTGCATACGCTGACACATATGTCCACTGCGGGCTCGCCGTGGCCCGTGCTGCTTGGAACTTTTCGTTCCAGGTGGCAAATTTTAAACAACAACAACAGCTGACACATACACCATCTCAGCAAGGGAGATAGCCCTTGCTGAGGCTGTGTGATAACTCACACATGGTGTCAGCAAGGCGGACAGCCCGCCTGCTATCACAACTCACTATATTCCACATTTATAAACTCTTTCCCCTATCTGCAGCTCTCCATCTTCTTCAATAAGAGTGGTGAAAGAGACGGGGGGGGGGGGAGGGCAGCATCTCACGTGAGAACACATTTGGTCTCACCGATGATGTCGGATTAGCTATGATGCTTTGGGTTTGTGTTGATGGCTTGATATGGAAATTATGTTTATTCCGAATGATAACTTTGTGTGTGTGTGTGTGTGAGTGTGTGTGTGTGTGTGTGTGTGTGTGTGTGTGTGTGTGTGTGTGTGTGTGAGTGTGTGTGTGTGTGTGTGTGTGTGTGTGTGTGTGTGTGTGTGTGTGTGTGTGTGTGTGTGTGTGTGTATGTGTGTGTGTGTTGTGTGTGTGTGAGTGTGTGTGTGTGTGTGTGAGTGTGTGTGTGTGTGTGTGTGTGTGTGTGTGTGTGTGTGTGTGTGTGTGTGTGTGTGTGTGTGTGTGAGTGTGTGTGTGTGTGTGTGTGTGTGTGTGTGTGTGTGTTGTGTGTGTGTGTGTGTGTGTGTGTGTGTGTGTGTGTGTGTGTGTGTGTGTGTGTGTGTGTGTGTGTGTGTGAGTGTGGTGTGTGTGTGTGTGTGTGTGTGTGTGTGTGTGTGTGTGTGTGTGTGTGTGTGTGTGTGTGTGTGTGTGTGTGTGTGTGTGTGTGTGTGTGTGTGTGAGTGTGTGTGTGTGTGTACTCACCTAGTTGTACTCACCTAGTTGTGTCTGCAGGATCGAGCATTGACTCTTGGATCCCGCCTTTCGAGCATCGGTTGTTTACAGCAATGACTCCTGTCCTATTTCCCTATCATACCTGGTTTTAAAATTATGAATAGTATTTGCTTCCACAACCTGTTCCTGAAGTGCATTCCATTTCCCCACTACTCTCACGCTAAAAGAAAACTTCCTAACATCTCTGTGACTCATCTGAGTTTCAAGCTTCCATCCATGTCCTCTCGTTCTGTTACTATTCCGTGTGAACATTTCGTCTATATCCACTCTGTCAATTCCTCTGAGTATCTTATACGTTCCTATCATGTCCCCCCTCTCCCTTCTTCTTTCTAGTGTCGTAAGGCACAGTTCCCTCAGGCGCTCTTCATACCCCATCCCTCGTAGCTCTGGGACGAGTCTCGTTGCAAACCTCTGAACCTTTTCCAGTTTCATTATATGCTTCTTCAGATGGGGACTCCATGATGAGGCGGCATACTCTAAGACTGGCCTTACGTAGGCAGTGTAAAGCGCCCTAAATGCCTCCTTACTTAGGTTTCTGAATGATGTTCTAACTTTTGCCAGTGTAGAGTACGCTGCTGTCGTTATCCTATTAATATGTGCCTCAGGAGATAGATTAGGTGTTACGTCCACCCCCAGGTCTCTTTCACGCGTCGTTACAGGTAGGCTGTTCCCCTTCATTGAGTACTGTCCCTTTGGTCTCCTATCTCCTAGTCCCATTTCCATAACTTTACATTTGCTCGTGTTGAATTCTAGTAGCCATTTCTCTGACCATGTGTGTGTGAGTGTGTGTGTGTGTGTGTGTGTGTGTGTGTGTGTGTGTGTGTGTGTGTGTGTGTGTGTGTGTGTGTGTGTGTGTGTGTGTGTGTGTAATAACGCCAGCATGCACAATGATATTTTCTCACTGATACAGCACCTTAATGTGATTTCATTGTGCATTTGAAGAGAAGCAGCGTTGGAGGCAGAACTCCTGGACCACAGCCACTGTGCATGGTGGGCGATGCGTGAAACCCTGAGTGGGCACTGAAGCCTCAGGAACCCTAGAGGATTCAGGGGAATCCCAGGTTGCATTTGACCGGGTCGTGGTGTAGCGGTCTAGGGCACGTGTGTGGAAGTATCCAGTGTGCGGGTTCGAATCCCTCTTATGGTTCCAACTGATTTTCTCAACGCCAGCATCACTGTAACAACAATTGTCGCAGCCACCTCCATCAACCACCACACCAGCACAACCATCCACCACCGTTTTCCTTTTCAACTCAAGTTTCAATTTTTATTCCCAGCTGGGTCTTCAACTCTGATTTTTCCCCCTCTCACCCACCTTAAACATCTCCCTCTCTCTCCCTTCCAAACTCACACCCGCTTTACCTCCTAGTCTCCAACTGCTTCAGCACCACCTCTTCTCCTCGGTTCTTCCCTCTCATCATCATCTTCCTCTCTTCTTCCCTCCCCCCCCACCCGCGGAGGGTGACCGCGGGCAGGATGAACGTACGGTACAACGAGGCGGTAATATCAGCCTCCGCCACACCCATTCTGGCCGCAGGAGGGCGTCTTTATCTCCCAGGCCAGCACCACCTCCCAAAACACCACACTCCTTCATTTAAAGTCCCGCCTCGCACACGCATTCACACGCATCACGCACGCGCGCAGGCACGCGACGAGTGACCCACGATTTTTGCAGTTCGTGTCCTTTATCGATATTTTTTGGGGGGAGGGGAGGGGGAGGAGATATCGTGATGGGGCAACAGTGTCGATGTGTAAAGTGCGGTGATAACTTGACACATCGACACTATAAATGCAGAGTTTCTGCATTTATCGTTCGCCCAACCTTGAGATAACAGGGGCGCCGACAGCTGAGTGGACAGCGCTTCGGATTCGTAGTCCGAAGACGTAGTCCAAATCCTGAGGTTCCGGGTTCGATCCCCATTGGAGGCGAAGACAAATGGGAAAAATGTTTCTTTCACCCTGATGCCCCTGTTACCTAGCCGTAAATAAGCACCCTGGGAGTTAGACAGCTGCTACAGGCTGCTTCCTAGGGTGTGTAACAAAAAGGTCTGGTCGAGGACCGGGTCGCGGGGACGCTGAGCCCCGAAAATCATCTCAAGATAACCTCAAGATCCTCTCACCAACAAGCCCAGTAAGATGCTTCATGAGTACCTTGAGATAACAGATGAGGTAAAGAGACATCTGATGGAGCCAGACACGACAAAGGCTGTTGAACTGAACAGATTCTCTCAACTGGATACAAAACAAGAACAAACCCTGTGCTTGCTGCTTCATACGGGATATACTGTCGATGAATATAGGAGACCTACCAGAAAGTTTGAAGACAGCCAGTGTATTCCCAGTAAACAAGAATGGAGCTAGATAGGGGCCAACTAAAGTACTGTGTCCCCTAACTTGCAAGCCATTCAAGGTGATGAAAAAAAGGGAATTTGAAACGCATCGCCAGCACGGGATCATTGTAAATTTTATCTCAAAATTTGAATTCAATTTTATGTCAAAGACATAAAATTTATGGACAAAGACAAAGGGTGGGCAAAGTGCATATTTGGCCTGCCAGAGCTCTTGACACAGTACCCCACAAGAGAGCACAAGCTGGAGAAGCAGGCAGGAGTGACAGGAAAGGTGTTCCACTGGATAAGGGAACACCTAAACAGCAGCAGCAGCAGCAGCAGCAGCAGCAGCAGCAGTTACTTCTCTACGAGAGATACCAGAAAGACGAGATATCGCCAGCATAAGGGGTCCCATAAGGGTCAGTACTTAGGTCTATCTTGTGCCTGATAAAACCAAATGATCTTTCAGAGGGAAAAAGACTCATTTCTCTGAATGTTTGTAGATAACATAAAAATTGTAAGGAACTAGTACCCAGTATGGGTGGTCAACAAGCCCTGAAAGAAGTTGTGGAAGCCACCTCCGTCCATAACTTTAAGGCCAGAAACCACCAAGAATTCGAACTTCAAAAAGTTAACATATAACGCAACATGGCTAGTAGGAGGTGAATAAAGAGCTAAACCTCACTTCTTAGCAGTCACTGTAGGTGAGCGCTGCTAGGTAGAGAGGGGCAGCGGTGGAGGAGGAGGAGGAGGAGGAGGAGGAGGGAGGAGGAGGAGGGAGGAGGAGGAGGAGGAGGAGGAGGAGGAGGAGGAGGAGGAGGAGAGAAGCGAAGGGAAGTATGAAGGCATGAAATTGGAAAGGAACTTGATTTTACCGTGTGTCGTGAGGATTTATTATTATGGTACTTATTTCATTTGTTTTGCTGAGAAAAGAGGGAGGGGGAGGCAGGATGTCTAGGGAAGGGGAAATTTAGGAAAAGGAATGTTCCCCGTTCCTCCTCATCCCGCACCCCCCCTCTCTCCTCATTCCACCCACCTACCGTTACCTCCTCTCCCTATTTCCCCAGACTTCCCCACCCCAACCCCCTACCAATGCATCCTTTGTAACCCACTAACACTAGTTTCCCCTCACATGACAACAGTGCGGGGGGGAAATGAATGAAAAATGTATCTTTAAACAGTCCAGGGAGAAGGGGGGGAGGGGGGTCGACATAGGCGTGTTCTCACTGTCAGTCTTGAATAAACCTTTTGTAGTCCACAATACATTGTGAAGATCTGTTCTATGGGGGAGGGAAGGACGGAGGGAGGTAGGGGGGGGGGGTTAATTACCTTCGGGGTATGGG